GTTGAGTAATATTGCCACGGTTAGTTATTTTTTCGTTCAACTGTTGAGACGCGAGCCCATGGTTGTTAGAGGAAGCGATTACGATAAAGGGGAAGCACATGCACCACACGAAGCAGTTACTTGGCTGCCAAGGAAGCGAGTGTGGCGCTTTCACGACGAAAGGTGCGCTGGTTGCTGAGCAGGACTTCGAAAGCGCTCCGCCCCAAAAGCGATCCGCCCACTAGTTTACTTGTTGATTTGGACGAGCTGCGTGGCCAGCAGCGGCACAAATGGAGCATCTCGATTAAAGCGTGGTTTGGCATGGTGCCATCAAACGCGTTGCGGTGAACTCGTTCATACGTCCACTTTCTGAGCTGTTACCTGTTCATGAGTGAAAACCAACGGCCAAAAAGGGGTCCCGTTTTGCGTTTTCTTGACGGATTTTTCTGCTTTTTTCGCCACTGGCGTACCATTGAGCACCACCATAGGCCCTTCCTTGAATTTTCCGTAATCGCTGCCTTTAAGGTTGTATCTGACAAAATTATGCTCTGGTATGAAGCACCACGGCGGCGGTGCTTAGTCCTATATTCTTTGGTCCATTCGAACCGGTACTCTGCAATTCCACTTAACCGAGAATTCAGGTAGCACAAGAAAGCTGAGTTATGGGCAAAACCTTCACCTGCGGGAATCGAACCCGCACCTCTCCCGCATTTCCGGGTAGTTGTATTACCGATTATCCCATCGAGATAGCTTCACCTAAACCAAGCTTTTGATGGTATACTTACCAACATATCAATAAGGTGATGCTTGTTCGCGAAATACTGTTAGCTGCACCAAGTTAAAGTAATCTTCACCGAGAAAATCATGAGTTCTATCTCACCCATAAATCACTGCTTCAGACCCATCTTCACGATAAGAACGAAAAGAACAAAAAATGCGTTTGTTTTGGTAAACAATTCAAAAACCGAAGGACTGTTACGCGTTCAAATTCCCGCCGGACATCTTTCACAAATGCTTTATTTATTTATTTTTATTTATTTGAAACGACGCATAAGGCAGTCGTAGGAAACAACGATAAATGAGCAACAGTACAACAATCTCATATTTTTCTTAGCTAAGCGTTTGAAGAGCACAAAAGTGGGAGTGACGAGTGCCACGTTGGATTTAAAGGAGGAATTCACGATTAGAATGAAGGTCGAAGAAAGGGAAACTGACCTAGTTGAGGGACCCACGGACCTCCTGAGGGTGCGAACTGACGCGCAATTCGCATGGAAAAATTTGACCTCGGCGACCTATCATGCCTCAAAGCTGGCGGGTCCGGCGATCTCCGCCCACCGATCATCTGATCACTCGCCGTAGTTCAATACGTGGCGAGTGATTAGATAGCTGAGAGAGCGTAGTGTTGAAGAGGGCACAGCGATGAGAGTCGCATCAATGCTCGAATCAACGGGCAAGGAAGGGGTACCATTTCTCGGGTTCTGGGCCGTTTCTCATGGTTCTTCCTTCTTTCGTGTACCACTCACCATCCCTAGGTTAATTTGAAATGGGTTGCTTTTTCATCGTGAATTCGTCCTTTAAGTGGAACATAGCCCCGCACGACAGATTGAGGCTGACCGCGGGAACGATTCCACTTGGTTCTCATAGTGCTTTCACTAGGAATTCCTTGTGATTTTTTTCAGCTGCAGCAATGTTCTTTTCTATCGCACCCTATTCTTTCCATCGTTTTCACTCTATATACTCTAAAAAGGACTGCTTTCATTGCGGTCGCCACTACCACGTGGCGCGCACTTCTTCCCATGTGTACCTCCTCTCCGCCCGACCTACACACTAGATACTGTGACTTCGTAAGTTTGTTTCTCTTCGGATGGACTCCTCGTCGCAAATGTGTTAATTCTACAGTTGCGGTCAAAAGCGTTCGCGAGACGGTTCCTCAAGCATTAAATTTTTCCTCTCTGAATGGTCTTGTGACTTCCTTGACAGAAGAACTTTCCTTACCCTGCCTAGAATCTTTGCGACTTACGGGTTGCGAAACTACTAGCACAGGACAACCGACAGGAAACAATTCTAGGTGAGAAAGAAAATGTGCGACAAAATCGCTTCCGGCGAACACTTTTGACCGCTACGCATCTCAAACCTTATAGACATCCCTGATAAAAGTGAATAAGAATAAATATGCTACTGAAAGGCAAACTCCATCAAAATATTCCATAATGTTTTTATACACAAATTGTCACAGTCATCAGTCATGAAATGTACAAAAAAGTGAAAGAGATAAATATTGATAAGTAGAGATGAAATTGGCAGGAACGAAAACATTCCCATATTTTGTGGCGCAATTTGTTTCACTTTAGTGACTCACAGAAACTTTCATACACCCTGTGCATAAACTACACTACATACACATGTGCCAGGAGAACAAAATGCCAATCCATAAAATGGCTTTTCGCCAGAAAACGCTGAGCGACGCGTTTGTTTGTAAAACCAGAGTATCTGAGGTATAAACGTGAAAACGAAAAAGAAACAATGGAAAGAAAATGCGGAGCGACAACAAAAAAGACACACACACAACTGAGGAGATTATCGTCGAATGGCAGAACGAGACGAAAGAAGGCACAAAGACAGCTGGCAGCTCGCTACACCGAGGTGTTGAAGCCCTGTAAATTACTTCCCGGTCGAACGACCGCAGACTCGGGTGTTGAAACATGTGTTGGCATCGGGAGATGTTCTTCCAGTCTGCAAACGACTCGCTTGAGGATTGAAGGCAAATAAAATAACTGAATGTAAGGCTGTTAGGTAAAAAAACGGAATTTCTCAATTCTTCTGGGATGCGCCATGCTTACTGTTTTGCTGGAACTCGCGCAAGTGTTTCAATGTTCGTGGCTGTAGCTTTCACGTTGGCTTGTAATCAAAATCTGTTGTTAAAGGCTCGGGATGCGGTCGAATTATTGTGTTAATTTGTTCAAAAATTAGACAAGAAGTGCGAGAGGAACGTTAAGAAAAAAAGCAAAAAGCACCACAGAAAATACTGGAGTTTTCCTGTGAGGTCGATCGTCGTAACATAGACAATGAGAGACAGAGCGCTGCGAGGAGAGGGAAGACACGAAAAAGCACGTCATACGCAAGAGGGCGGGACGCTACGTGGGGTGGAACTGGTAAGCTCGGCAACGGTCGCGGCTGCCAAACGGAGCCATTAGCTCCCTTGCGTCACGACGGTACCGCCCCTTTGGTTGATGGTTCCTGTACAAATCCAGTCAAGCTTCCAGACTGCTTGGGACAGCTTACATGTCCAGGCGTAGCATGGACCTATGCAAACATTTGATGTCCCATCAGCCGCTTCCCCCACCCCACTTCCCCCTATCTCACGCATTGTCCGGGTCGTGGCCGGCCAAAGCACCAACTCTTACCCAATTCCATTTGAAGAGTAGATTCGATTAGGTCCTCTATAACCGGAGCTTTAGAACAAAAAAATGCAAAGAATTTCAAAAGGTCATAAATGAAAGAAACGAAGGTAATATTCATGGTACCGTACCTGTAGCTGGCTTTAGCCGGTGGAGGACTGGTGCGATAAGAACTGCTCTCCCTTCCCATAATGTCGGTATACCGAGGTTTTTCTTGCAACGGTTCCGATTCGAACGACTGAAAGTAGTTTTATTACCTTGACCAATTCTTGAAAATAAAGCAGCAGTAATTAGTCTAACCAAACCAACTGATTTGATAACAAAACTTACGGGGGTGCCGAATTTCTTTCGTGTAAATGAAGTCGATCGACTATTTCCATTACCATACACAGTTCCTCGCTTTTCCTCACGTTTTGATTGTTTTACACACCAACAGCAGAGGAAGATGAAAATAATGGCCTGAAAGGAGGACTGTAGGATTCTGGTAAAACGAATGGGAGATTTGTGAGTGGAAATAACTGCATTATTTTTGATCCTGTAATTTCTTTGCCAGACTATGATTTTCCAACAATACTGGCCTAGGTCCCAGTAGTAGGACACACAAATTTCATATGAGGTCGGATTAGTTTCCTTCTCCTGATCAATAACCATATTTTCATCATGGGCCACCACGACACGAAAGTAGCCGTGGCGTCAAAATTGGTCCGATCACGTCCATGCGACTTATATGGAAAAAGTATGAGCCATGATCACCCACACTTTGAAACTGCCCATTCGCATCTAGCCCCTTGCTACAATAACTGACTGTTCAGTGCTATGGTATAGAGCACAGATAAATATCAACAAATTTAATAGCCGTAGGTCCATACCTCCCTCATATGCGCTTCTCTATTTATAAAATATATACTTGACGGCCACGCCTTCATGTTCTCACCATAATTATTGCAATGGTTCCTAAGATGGCACTGAGCCAAATGAAGAAATTTTCTTTTTCACGCGATCGACACCACGGCTGTTCGCCTTTGTTCCATTCAAAACGATACTCATTCGGACGGTTATAGTCGACAACGATGCCGCCTGAAACTACGTTGTCAAGAGCCTGAAGAATTTTTGATAAGAAAATATCATATCACAAAGGAGAAACAAAACCGTTGTAAAGATAGATAATATTAAGAGATCAGGGGAAATATTGAATAGTAAATGTGCTGTGCTGCGGGACAGCGCTTTTTTGAAGGGTATGAATCGCCCAGATTGTGTCCAGGAAATCCTGTGGTCAAACGATATGTGGTGGATCGATTCGACGGTATGGTTAGAACCGCCCGTTATAGTCAGCGGGGTGAATAACGGTCGAGGAAATCTTCGGCCAAAGCTCTGCACTGTGTGAGAGTAGTGTTGAGAGTGAATGTACGCGCGGAGAGCACAGACGGCACGTGGCGAGAGTGAATGTCCGCGCGGGAGAGCGTGAGTGAACAGGCGAAAATCCTCGACAGGTCCTCGACGAATTTTCGACCGTATAGTCAAGGCATTCCTGAAGTCAATTATCAATTTCTAGCATTCCCAGGTCTCTTCTGTACAGGGGGGGGCAAAAAAAGGAGTCTTTTTCTCACATTCAAAACGAAATTAATTACGCGTGCGAAACCAAACCAAATGAGCCCAATGAATATTAAAGAGCACATTCTAATCTATCAAAAATACATAACAGCCTTCTACACCGACGACATCAGAAGATTTTCCCACGGAAACATGGTTCACGGTACGAGCTCAACGAGGTCGTCGAGGTACCATAGACCATTACGACGTCCCTGAAACGCTGGTCAAAAGCGGTCTTGCACAGTCACAGCTAGTGTCTCTAGAAGCTATTCACCAGTTAATCGATTGAAGAAATTATGTAGCAGCTTCAGGCCGGAGCGATTACGGTAAGCCTCGTTGAGCTCGACGGTGACGGCAGATGACGTCATATTCTGAAGACGGTGGGGGCAGTGAAGGAGGGCCTGCTTCTGCTTATGGGGGAACACCTAAGGAATATTCTGCCGTAAAACATTCATCAACAACGGCATCCTGTGCGAAGAAAAATTTGATGATGTGCGCCATGGGCAAGTGACTCTTTTTTCTGGCCCCGCCCCTGTATGCACGATGAGGGACGGATCGTTGACAGTGCTATAACATTCACCGTTTCAGGATGCTTATAAAAATCTGACAGCGTTGCACCTATACTTAGACCTCGATTATATCGCACACTCGTACAGAACATTGCTCGTCATGACAGCTGAGCTACGGAGCCTCAATGGTGGTTTGTTTCGAAACCAGCTAAACATGAAGAAACAAGAAGTCCTTTTTCCATCACTAATTTTATGCCACAGTACTGAATCACCATGACGCTGAGCATGCACCTCATTTTCTGAACACATCACCTCGGCTTGATGGAACGAGTGGCCTACAATGGCCCATAGGCATGAGCTCCTACAATGTTTCGTCCTCCCTTTCTCTCTGCGACAGTTTCGCGCGGCAATTTCGCAATGCTCTGTCCGCAGCTAGGAAAATTTTCCGCGGCGGAAAGATGCAGAATCCCGCACCTGTTAGAAGCAGCCATTTTGAAGAAGCCGTTCAAAATAGTCTGTCGAATCGATAAAAGTTTTTTCTTCTTTCCGTACTTCCTTGATAACGAGTTTTAATCAATTCAGAAATTTAGCGCATTATTTTGTATTAAAACTCACATTTATATTCGTGGACGCCTTTGATCCAATGCGACTGAACACACTCGAATCGCGCCACATCTCCCTGCATATAAGCCGAATACATCGATGAAGTTTTCGTCAAGTATTCCGGGTATTCGATGTTGATCGGACCGCAACTGTTATCTGAAATAGACATTTTTACCTATTGAAGGGTACGTATGGAAGCCTTTGCCTGTAGGGCACGCGATTATAAGGCGATCCGTGGAGGCGCTGTGCGCCCGACTTCGTTCAGAATTCTTCAATCAGTTCTGGTGAATACGTGCATGAATTCTAAAACTTCCCGCCTAGTCTATAAGTGCTTGATGACTAGCGCATACCCGCTCGGGGCAACGAGGGCAAGCTATGCTTATTGCTTCACTCTCTGAGCACTTTTATACGATAGTTGACACATGACCCCGATTCGGAACGGCAGGGATATTGAGACGGGGGTCGCGCTGCTGCCCGACAATAGTTGGCGCATTTAGAACTTCTGTTTTTGAAAGGTTAAACATCGTTTCGCCCCCGGTGAAATCGCCTTTTTGTTCCTGCTGATCATAGCTTTCCTTGAGGGTCGAGCGAATATTAATACGCCCCATAACCACAGTAATCCGTGACACTGTTTTGGGTCGCACATAACTTGCGATAAGTGTGTTATTGTTTCATGTGCATTCTTAGTAGGGATCTTTCTCACAAGGGAAGGATCCCAGGTCGAAGTGGCCATTTGTAACGAGACATACACCACTAGATGTGTTTTTGGACGCTGATCTCGAATCTGCTCTCCAAATCTGCGGAACGATTCCCTGAACGTAGTTATGAAGCGAGATAGTGCAGTGGCAGCGGCCCAGGCCGACGGAAAAGAGGTCGTGGGATCGAATTCTTGGCGATATCTCACATTTGCTTTCCTTGAGACATTGCTAAAGATGCTTTTATCCATATAAATTATTAGCGATTGCCTATATTACAAGTGGGAATAGCTAGCGAGGAGCATCTAACACTGTGCGCGCCATTCGCAAAAGATCGCCCCTTGTACTCGTAGCGCACGCGTCAGGCGCATTCGTGCCAAACAGAGGTGATATTCGTATTCAGCGCGTCAAAATGCCCCTTTCCACAACTTTTGGTCCAAATCTGAAATTGTGTACCTAACTTTGCAAATGTGGGCAGTCACCGTTGGTCATTTGCACATGGCACGCACACTTGATCGAAACTCCTCGCTATCTCCTCGCACTAGTAATAAAGGCGAGTGCTGATGACTTAGCATAGATGAGGATTTCCTTAACAATGTCCTCAGGAAAAGCAAAAGTCAAAACTCGCCGAAAATTCGATCCCACGACGTCTTTCCCGTTGGCCCGGGCCGCTGCCACTGCACTATCTCGCTTCATAACTACGTTCGGAGAATCGTTCCGCAGATTTGGAGAGCAGATTCAAGATCAGCGTCCAAAAACACATCTAGTGGTGTATGTCTCGTTACAAATGGCCACTTCGACCTGGGATCCTTCCCTTGTGAGATATCCCCATCGAATACAGAAACACATGTTCATTGCTATAAATTTCTAGCGGTAGGCTGCTTTCATAGTTCGCATCGGTGCGGTCGGTGCCGACGGTGCCGACGGCGCCGACCGCACCGACAGTGTGAAGAGCGTCAACACGCGCTCTGGCGCATGACGCGTGCGCTGGGCGCAGATGGGGCGCTCCGGTCGATAATCTTGGTTTTGGTGTATTTCTTGTATTTTTTTGCACTCACTTCATATGAATAAACAAAATTGCTTACGACCAACACACCCGGTATGGCCACATCCACCCGGAGTTGTGCGACGGATTCACGACGTCGCTCGCCCGCGGAACAACTGGAAAGTTAATCAATACAAGCATAAAAGCGGCAGTGCTCGGAGGGGGGGGCAGCCGCCGCGCGGGGCGTTGCGGCAACAGGAAATTCGCAAGCCAGGGGGAGTGTAGCCAATTCAGGGGGGTGGGGGTGAGGGCAGTCACTTAGCATGCGTGAGAAGCTGAAATGTCCCGTGAAAAGCTGGAATGTTCGAGTTACACTACATCGCTGAGCCGCGCACCGACTCCCCCCCCCCCGAGCCACATTGCGCCCATAAAAGAATAAGTATGAACAGGAAACACACGAATTAAAGCAACACGGCGCGAAAAAAAAAACATCGAAAAGCACAAGAAATACACCAAAACCAGGATTATCGATCGGAGCACGCGATCTGCGCCCAACGTTCGCGTCATGCGCCAGAGTGCGTATTGACGCTCTTCACACTGTCGGTGCGGTCGGCGCCGTCGGCGCCGTCGGCACCGACCGCACCGATGCGAACTATGAAAGCAGCCTTAGCATTTCCCCCACGAGAGTTATTGTACTCACGACGGCTTTCATGATAACTGGTGATACTGATGATCCTCCTCACCTCATATTTATGCTGATAACGTAATAGATTCACAGAAACATTTCTATTGAATACTTACAGAATCTTGTTGCGTCAATCCGCTCAGTGGTGAACACGTTCCATTCTTCCTTGATTTTCACACCCATTACCTTAAAGAAATTTATTTCAGATGAAGAATTGCATATTCAAAGGGAGAGCAGGGACAGGTACACATTCAGCAAAACGGAATTTATACAAGTCTTGTATTGATTTGTTGGGAATAAATATCACATAGATAAAGATAATATTACATGTTAGCTTGATGCACAAGCTACCCGCACCGCTCTCACACACAGGGCACATCTCATAGAACTGTGTAGGGTGCCAAATCAGCGTGGGTGCCAGATTTCTTACGAAATTGTGCGTGCCGGGGCCACCACACAATTCGGTATAAAAATGTGGCACAGTGGCAGCCAGCTCTCATTTAGTGACAAAGTCATACTATAGAAGCGCAACCGCGAGAGGAACCTCAGTCGGGTCTTGCCCGTTATTTGTCCGGTACAAGAGCTATGAGTTTGGCCATTGGTGCCTTTAGCTTCAGAGCAACCAGTTTCTCTTCTTAGGCCGTCGTAGAGTGTTCATTCACAGAATTGTTTGCCTTGACGGCTCAGGTGGCAGTTGTTGCTGTGCCAACAATACAATTGACGAATTAGGTGGACAATGCGTCAGGGATCAACGCAGTAACCACTTCGCGGTCTTTTCATGAAGGGCCACTTACTAAGCCACCCAATTTAGAGTTTACAAGTCAAGGACCTCCTTTTCAGTTGGGCGCTTCACGCTTTTGACGAATGTAAAAACGTTTTTTGATGAACCTCAGATCACCTTGCAATGAGCAGCCTCTCTTCATCCACCGTATCCTGGCGATGGGATGCAAAAAAAAACCACAACTAAGTTGGGAGTGTAGCCTGGCTGATATTTAAGGCTTTTTTGGCTGCTAACCATCACTTAAAAAGTCAAAGAAGATTTGAGTAGATTCACCTTAGCGTTCATGGTAGTGTAATCGTATTGACATGGTACGGAGTCACCACATTCGGAGATAATCGCGGCTGGATTATCCGGACACTGACTGAGTCCGTAGGCTTCGGTCAGCTGTGATTGCATACTGGGTTGGAGGTTAACTGAACATGGCTCTTTTTCAAAAACTGCTCTTAGAATATTTTAATGTCCTTGTCCTAAAGCTTAAATTTGAACCAATCCAAATCTATTACTCAATTAAGAATAGTTCCAAAACCAAAGTACTCACTGATATTCTGCTGTTGCAGATCCCTGCAGGTCTGCAGTCGTTGGTTGAGTACTTGGCCAGTAATAGGGTGGAAACGATATGCACCTCTGCAATGGGTAGCTCTATATGTTGCATTACTATCGGTTTTCAGTTGGGGAAGATCAAGCGAAATTTCCGGAAAAGCGATACGATTTTGTAATCCATTATAGTTATGTGGGCATTTTTGGAGTCGGTAGTGCATTAGCCACCCTTCAGAAAGCTCACAGAGAACATGCGCGCTCTCTTCCTCCGCCGCTGCTCACGCAAAGCCGCAAATCCTCACACTCAAAAATTGCAGTAATTGTACGTTTTTCCGTAATGACACCTCCCATAAGAAAAAATCCATGTGCTTGGAATAATTAAAAAAAACCCACGTCTCATATTTTGGAGCTGTTTTGTAGATGGGACCGCTCTTCATAGCGGCTTCCGGGAATACCTGGAACAAAAGCGATTCTAAAATTCGAACTGAAAAACAAAACTCTGCGGTTTCCCTCCCATGAATATAAGTGAGAAGTTGGATTACACGGTCCTGTAAATTGTCCCGAATTGCGCCATACTTTCAACTCCCAATTGAATCGAAGGAGCATTTGTATGGGTTTCCGACAAATACAATTGTACCCAGCGCCAAGACAACTTCCTGGCTGTTGTTTCTATCTTTCTACATTTGTCATCCTTGCCACACACTTATCAGCCCGGGCTTTTTTCACCTTCAACGATTTGGGATTAAGGTTGCATGGGGAAGCTTCAGCGCGAGCTAATGTCACAAATCATATTACACCACCCGAAAGCTGAATACGATTTCTAAAATTTTAACGCAAGGTATCTGTCTACCTACCTCAAACTTCTTGTCCTCGTCCTTGCTAGTGGTAAACATATTTTCTGTTGGCATACCAGCCTGGTTTTGTGTCTGCAGGTTCTGATCGGAGCCGGGCTCACCAGATCCCTGCACGCGATCTGAAAAGACATTATT